ACCATACGAGGCTGGATACGGTAAGACATCAACCCAAACCTACATCAATACGGCCCATCGAGAGAGCAGCAACCGTGTCTCCGCCGCCATTTACCGTATTCACAGCCTAGACACACACACACACACACACACACACACACACACACACACACACACACACACACACACACACACACACAGCATGGAGACGAAAAAATACCCGGAAATTGGGAATAATCAGAAATAGGCGAGGCATTACATTGCTATTGGGAAGAAAAGGCATAAAGAGACTTGCTACTTTCCCACAAGTCTCCAACAACAGGTTTACGGCAGGCATGGGGAGATACACAGACACCTGGGGAGATTATTACACCCCAGGCTAGCGACAACACGTCAGACTGGGGAGATAAGGGTGTAAAGGGGTGGTTAATGCTGGGGGGAAAGGTGGGGAGGTGAAACGAAAAGAGAACGATGAGGGGGAGGTAATGGGGAGATGAGGACGGGGAGAAACGGACAGAGAGGAACAAAAATGGGGAGATAGGGACGGGGAGGAAGTGGAAGTGAAGAAGACTAGAAAAGAACGGGGAGGTTAGGAGAGAGGGGAAGAGGTCGGGGAGAAGAAGATGACGTGGGCACATAAAACAAGTGGGAGAGAAGGAAGGAGGAAGGAAGGAGGGAGGAGAGAGGAAGGAAGGAATGACCCCTTTCCCAGCCCAAACCTCCCTCCTCTAACCCCCTCCCCACCACGCCAAAACTCAGTACTGTATACACAAATTAACTCTCTTCAAAAATAAACATGAAAACGAGAATTCCAGGTTGATTCTCTCTCTCACTCCGAGGTGTGTGTGTGTGGGACCAAGACTTGTAGGCTGACGAGGACGTGTAGGCTGACGAGGACGTGTAGGCTGACGAGGACGTGTAGGATAACGATGACGTGTACGACGATGATGATGACGTGCAGGATGCTGATGACGTGTAGGATGCTAATGACGACGATGACGTGTAGGATGACGATGAACCCTGCAGTGGGCCAGGATTACTAGCTCGTAGGTTTCGGGTAGACAGGTTATTAAATATACATATATTACACAACACTACCACACTCTCACTCCCTCTCACTCCTCGCATTACAAACCCACACAAGCCTTCTCTACCCCACACAAGCCTTCTCTACCCCACACAACCCTTCTCTCCCCCACACAGTCCCTCTCTCCCCGACACACTCCCTCTCTCTCTCTCTCTCTCTCTGCCACACACTCCCTCTCTCTCCCCCACACAGTCCCTCTCTCCCCGACACACTCCCTCTTCCCTCATACACTCCTAATTCCCTTTCACATTTCAAATCCCCTCACATTCAAAACCCCTCTGACACTCAAAATGCCTCTCACTCGAAATCCCTCTCACACTCCAAATCCCACTCACACTCCAAATCCCTCTCACACTCCAAATCCCTCTCACACTCCAAATCCCTCTCACACTCCAAATCCCTCTCACACTCCAAATCCCTCTCCCTCTCCCCAAATCCTCTCACACTCTCACACCCAAATCCCTCTCACACTCCAAATCCTCTCACACCCAAATCCCTCTCACATTCCAAACCCTCCATTCCCTCTCTCCCCCACACATTCCTCTCCCACAGTCCCTCTCCCCACACAGTCCCTCTCTCCCCCACACAGTATGCCAGTATTTGTCGCATCAGTCGCTCCATCATCACTACCAGCAGAAACCCTGACAGTAGCAGTAACACTCCCGTCAGCAGCAGTAACAACCACGTCCGTAGCACCACCACCACCAGAAGGGAGCCCCGTCAGTAGCCGTGTCAGTAGCACCATCACCAGCAGAAGCCTCGTCAGTAGCAGTAACATTAGCACCACCACCACTAGCCACGGAGCGTTTAATAATGAAGCTAGTGGTAACGTGTAGTAATCCGTAGGCTAGAGCCGTGACTTAATCTGTGTGGGAGTTGTCATGTAATAATGTGCGGTAGTGAGCAGTGGAGCGGCCATCACACACACACACACACACACACGACTCTGAGAAGAAGGATTACCAAGATACCCACACGCCACCAACCACCATTACCACGCCACCCACCACCATTACCACGCCACCCACCACCATTACCACATCATCCATTAACATTACAAGCCACCCAATATCATTACCACGCCACCCACCACCATTACCACGCCGCCCACCATCCCTTATAACATGACAAGTTATGGAAAGTTGCTCGTGATAAACCAGATATGTTTTGTTTCACTTATACTCTGCAACTAAAGGCTAGATGTTGTTTCCCTTATACTCTACAACTAACGACTAGATGTTGTTTCCCTTATACACTGCAACTAAAGGCTAGATGTTGTTTCCCTTATACTCGACAGCTAAGAATATTTTCTCTAGGCTTGGATCAGTAATATGAGCGAATGTATTTTAAATTGCCGATTATTTCCATACATTACAAGCTGATATTATTGAGCTTTCTATAATGAATTAAGGAATACATATTTTTTTCATAGATTAATGGAAATAAATTAATACTTTCTAATCCCACGGTTGAATTGGTATCTCACGCTGAAGCTCACTAACTAGAACCTTAATGGTGCTTAGATGCTCGCCGCGCCACCTGATGATCTGAAACGAGTCAAGGTCAATCAGTCAGGCGTAACCTCCAGGTGTTGTCACAGGGTTTGTGGGTGGGTGTGAGAGGTCATAAGGAAGAACAACTATCGTCTCATTGTTTGGTTTATTTTCGTTAATTTATTTAAATTCTTGAGTATATCCCGGAAGAAGGTATTAATACTGACAGACAAAGTTCATACCTGTGTGACTGATTAGGTTGTAATATACGTTTGAATGAGTCCCAGCTTGTTGCCGGCGGTCAGTTGAGGGCTGGTGAGCGTCTTGCTCGGGTCTCCACAACAAAATATCATATTTTGGGGGCTTCTCTTCTCGAATTAGCTTATCTAAATAACCAGTTACTGTAGTTGGCAACATTCTGTAAACAAATGTTGGTCGATAAGATACCAGACGTCTCTAATTATTGACAAGAGTTTAGTGAAAACCCAACCAGGACCGCCACGCCACGCCACGCCACGTCACACCACGTCACACCACGCCACGCCAAAAGATTGTGAGAATGTCTTAGGCTGCACCATCACTCCTACTGCTTAGTAATTTTAAAATGGACGGCCAGCGAAACTTATTTATGTGAAGTGATCAAAGAGGCATTTCATATATTTTTAACCACCCAAAATATTGTTATTTTCGACTCATATAATACATGTATGGTAATCTTCAGGTAAAACAACACCTGCTAAATATATTCTCTTACGGTGGAGTAATTGTCTATTCCTTATTTTACGGATATTAACATCGTTCTTCAGCAACATTTGTCTCTGTGTTAAATCTACATCAACTGGGCTGGGAGGCGTGGGCACATACTTCTTGTTAACACTACATAAAAGGTGACGTAAAGCAATCAAATCAAATCCAACCTAACCTAACCTAACCTAACCTAACCTACCCACGAAACGCTTCTCTACTTTTAGCGCTACCAACCACACGATGAGTATAAGGTGCACAATAAACTAGCCGCTGTACATTTTACTAAACACGTCCCCCCCACAAAAAAAATTAAGGATATATTTTTTGGTGAACGGGACTTACAACTAATTAAGAAACATGTAGGTATAATTAATTACTCCAACTGACCTTAATTAATTACTGTATATAAAGTTTTAAGCTTTTTTAATGACATTCAGTACCTCAAGCCGCACTAGACCGAGCACCAGAGTTCTAACTTAACTCCTTCAAATACTAAGGTGGCTTCTGGGTACACACCTTGTTCTGTCGCCAATACCTGTACTATAATTACTCTAAACCAATTTTACATCCTTGAAACATATTTCCTATTTCAATTCATCACACACACACACACACACACACACACACACCCTCGCCTGAAAATCGAGTTCTTTTACCCCAAAAACCTTCCCCCGGTCGATGACGTAACATATAGGCGGTCAGTTCCCACCTTATAAATTAAGCCCGTCTATCGCCCCGTCCACACCACCACCAGCCACTGTTCCTCACCGCCCTGTTAGTACTCTGCCAACGAATCTAAGTAAAGGTTAAAACAAAATCCAAAATGAAGTTAATGTAGCACATAGACTCGACTCCTTGAATAAATTTCTTCTCTTTTCACCAGTTAAAAGAATGTCTGAATAAGGGTGATTTTTTGAGAAGATGAACCAGGATATTAGCTATATTATTCTTACGACCACCACCTGGAGGGGAATTTGTTTTTAACATGTGTTGAAAATTATGACTTGTTCCAAATATTCCTCATGATGGTCACAATATGTATGTCACCTTACCTTCAAGAAATATATTGGATAAAAATATAAATATAAATAAAATCGTGAATTATGAAAATACAGGCAACGATCACAATAATAACTACGACAATAAAATAATTACAACACCTGAAACAATAATATGGTGATAAATAACGGTTGCCCTTCGAGTAACGAGGATGGCCGGCCCTAGAACCACCCAGGTGTGAATTTGTTTCGGGTGTAGAAGCTGTCGCCAACACAACAACCTGAGTTAACGAGCTGCATGTCCCAGTGTCAAGGAATAGTCCGAGAAGACCGGACAACTCGCCAACTGCACTGGCTAACCATTACCCCGGAATGCGATCCGTAAATCGATCAACATCCAGGTTCCCAACTGCTGCTGGGTAGACAGAAGCAAATGGCGTAAAGAAACTTGCCCACAGTTTCACCCTGCCCGAGGATCGAACCCGGGTCCACTCGCTTGCGAGGCGAGCATGCTGACCATTACACCACAGGCCGCCATAATATCATGATACAAGTAATAATAATAACAATAGCAACAACCATCACAACGATCTTATTACATTACAGAAGGTACAACACCACACACACACACACACACACACACACACACACACACACACACACAAGGACATGGTACAGGAGGACTTGAACACTTACACTCTGTCGAGGAGGTTGGTGAAGCCGTGAGCTACCATCATACAGAAGCCCATGGAAGGCATGTACAGTACCCGCTCCGCCACCACGAACCCGACGGGGAAGAAGAGGTTTGTCGCCGGCAGGAAGGGCAGCACCACGAACGCCAGTGCCTGAAGGAGAAAAAGAAGAAGGTAAAAACAAATGATTTAATTAGGTCATATATAAAGAATTATGAGTAGCTTTGAGGCTCTTAAGTAAAGCCAACTTCTTAAGAGGCCAAGTCCTGTAGTCTTCTGGGAGTCTTAAGTGTGTAAAGGATCAAATTCTGAGTCGTTGTGAGAGTCTTAAGAGTATGAGGTCTTAGAGTTGTACGAGTCTCAATGTGGGAAAAAATGGAACCTGAACCCTTAGGCATCAGACCCTGAACCCCTATGAAAGTCTCGGGGTTCAATTAGAATATCAAACCCTGAATTATCATGTTTATAATACTATTAATACTTTCATATATAAAATTTACTCATATAAAGTTTTCAAGTGTACAGTACAAGGTGTTGACGTGTACAGTACAAGGTGTTGACATGTACAGTATTCAAAGTACAAAAGTAAGGAGACAATGTAACACCAAACGAAACATTAACACAAGTTCAATGTCCTTAAATACGACCGACGTCTTGTAACACATAGCACGTTAATGTATCAATAATATCACCTGAAGATTAGACACCCCAACTAATATCACCATAACACAGCATGGAGGGGGGGGGTTAGGTTAGGTTAGGTTAGGTTAGGTTAGGTTAGGTTAGGTTGGGTTGGGTTTAGCTTAGATTAGCGTTAGGGTGGTTAATAATCATGTGAAATAACTTGGTATCTGATATTTAAGTAATCCACATCAATATAATTTTTGATATATCTTTAACAGTAAATAATAAATAAATACCATATATGTTATTACAGACTACATAATTTCAGAAGTGTACCGTTATGTAATACCAGTAAGATTATGAAACAGTTTAACCTGAATTTCTCTGTAATATTGACTAAAATTATATAAAAAAATGAAAAATATTATTCATGGCGACTCTCAAGTTAAGATACGTACACCTAGTTATACCTGGGTACACCTACTTACACCTGGATACACCTAGTTACACCTGGGTACACCTAGTTACACCTGGATACACCTAGTTACACCTGGGTACACATACAGTAGTTACACATGGGTACACCTGGATACACCTAGTTACACCTGGGTACACCTAGTTACACCTGGGTACAGTAGGTAGGTGTAAGTAGGTGTACCCACATGAACCCCAACACACTGAGAATTAAAACCTACGGCAATCACCTACCGAGTTCCAGTTAATCCCCTCCTCTCCTACCGAGTTCCAGTTAATCCTCCTGCTAAGAGTTCTGAAGCATCCTCCCACCGAGTTCCATAGCTAATCCTCCTACCGAGTTCAGTTAATCCCCCCACCGAGTTCCAGTTAACCTCCTACCGAGTTCCAGCTAATCCTCCTCAACCGAGTTCCAGTGCTAATCCCCCGCCTCGAGTTCCAGCAACCTCCCACGAGTTCCAGAGTTAATCTCCTACCGAGTTCAGTTAATCCTCCTACCGAGTTCCACCTAACCTCCTACCGAGTTCCACTAACCCCTCCTACCGAGTTCTGCTAACTCCTCCTACCGAGTTCCAGCTAATCCCTCCTACTGAGTTCCAGCTAATCCCAAGTGAAGTGGCGATTTAACGTAATCCCTACCTCACTTCACTTATTTTGAGTCGAAAAGAGGGTATTAAAATGGATTAAAGTGGATTATAGTGAAGCTGAAGAGCAGGATTTACAGAAGGAAGCGCTGTCGGGGATTATTTCGAGGATTACTGAAGAACAATGGCGTTGTTACAGAGAATTAAACGAAGTGAATTAAAAAAGTGGATTAATCTGGCCTACTGAGAGGATCAACAGCGTAAATGACAGAGGATCCAGGGGAGGATTACTGGGGGCAGGAGGTGAGAGGAAGAGGAGGAGGAGGAGGATGAGAGATGGAGGAGAGGAAGGAGGAGGAGAGAGAAGGAGGAGAGAGAGAAGAGAGGAGGAGGAGGAGGAAGAGGAGGAGAGAGGAAGTGTAGGATGGAAGAGGAGGAGGAGAGAGGAGAGAGGGGAAGGAGGGAGAGGGGAAGAGGAGGAGGAGGAGGAGGAGGAGGAGGAGGAGGAGAGAGGGGGAGGAGGAGAGAGGGGGAGGAGGAGGGAGAATTTCACATTGAAGATTTACATGAACAAAACGGGAGTAAATTACAGAGATATGACAACAGGAAGTAAAAGGCGAGGACCAGTTAACAGAATGGATCACATTATGTGTCAAGGTTACACTACACTAATAACCTATTAACAACAGTTCTAGAGGCAATACTACATAATTAGATATAAATTAAAAGCGTCTCGCCAATATTATACTCAGATACGCTGTTTATACTGGTAGTTCAGTTTAATATAAGCGGTTTCCTGATGTTTATTCAGGGTCAGCCATGTTTAAAATATAGACGATATAAATTCATGGTTAAACTGAACACTTTGTAGGTTCTTTAATCATTTTGGACACCTATAAACTAATTCAAGTGTTAAATTGCTCATACATTTGATGCTCATTTATTTCTTTGTTTTTACATTCCTACGATTATTACATTATGACATCTCTCGATATGCTCGCTTATAATAAAACCTAAGGAATACGGCGTTACAACTCTATAAAAGAGTTAAATTCAGGTGCGGCTGCCTAACCTTATTTGGGGCAGATTAGGTAACATCTGGGACGCTAAGCACTTTTATATATATTAATGTTTACTATGAGATTCCTACTTAGCTCACACTGATCCCCATGCTGAGTTTCACGCAGTGTTGTCACCAGTCTGTCCTGGTAGTACATTGGCATTCACTCCTTTGAATACTTCAGAGTTTTCAACACAACATTCAGATTCTGCATACACGAAAACATGGAAATCAACCCTGAAATCACCTGAGTTGATGAACACAATAATTTTTATGCCAGAAAGGAAGATCTGACATTCACATTTGGCGGCCATCTTCGAAAATGGCCGCCCTCTTCGAATTTTCAATGACCAATCAGATAAATTTGATAATTAACTCAAAATCATCATGCCAATTTTTATTCTTGTATCACAATTTCCAAGATTCCCTCAAAAAATTTACACTTATCATCTCCACTATAATAAGTTGACGAACTCGTGTAAATGTCAATGTTGTTACACACTTAAACACCATATATGATGAAGCGAAGTAATAACATTATCACATCAATGGACCTGAAATACCAAAAACAACTCATCTCAGACACACATAACTGAAGACTCTCCATTAAATCAGGTCACCAGTAACAATCATCAGGACAGGTGCTAGTTCATTTACCTGTATGTGTCCAAAACCTCACAATATCACCTACCTTAATAATGGTAACACGAGTCATTTACCTTAACCATTATAGTTGTTACAGTTTACTAATATCGAGCCATTGTAAATTATTTGAGTGATCTACCTGAGTAAGTCAATAAAGGGATCAAGGTAGGTTAAGGGTGCTGTTATATACCTTCTGTTACAGCCGTCACCAATGTTAATCTGCCGGAGACAAACGACCAATATCTCTAACCTTCAGTGTTCATAATATTCAAACTAAGCTCTTTAATACAACACTATGGTTTTATACACAATATATAATACTCACAGCAAGCCTTATCACCAGACAAAGCTTAAGAAGGTAATAATAACAACTCGTAATTCCTCCTTAGCTCAGCAGCTGGTGTGTGAGGGTGAACTGTGAGTAAGTGGTCTCATAACCCAGCAGCTGGCGTGTGAGGGTGGACTGTGAGTAAGTGGTCTCATAACTCAGCAGCTGGTGTGTGAAGGTGGACTGTGAGTAAGTGGTCTCATAACTCAGCAGCTGGTGTGTGAGGTGGACTGTGAGTAAGTGGTCTCATAACTCAGCAGCTGGTGTGTGAGGGTGGACTGTGAGTAAGTGGTCTCATAACTCAGCGGCTGGTGTGTGAGGGTGAACTGTGAGTAAGTGGTCTCATAACTCAGCAGCTGGTGTGTGAGGGTGAACTGTGAGTAAGTGGTCTCATAACTCAGCAGCTGGTGTGTGAGGGTGGACTGTGAGTAAGTGGTCTCATAACTCAGCAGCTGGTGTGTGAAGGTGGACTGTGAGTAAGTGGTCTCATAACTCAGCAGCTGGTGTGTGAAGGTGGACTGTGAGTAAGTGGTCTCATAACTCAGCAGCTGGTGTGTGAGGGTGGACTGTGAGTAAGTGGTCTCATAACTCAGCAGCTGGTGTGTGAGGGTGGACTGTGAGTAAGTGGTCTCAAAGCAACTCAGCAGCTGGTGTGTGAAGGTGACTGTGAGTAAGTGGTCTCATAACTCAGCAGCTGGGTGGAGGATGGACTGTGAAGTGGTCTCACACCCAGCAGCTGGTGTGTGAGGAGGACATAACCCAGCAGCTGGGTGTGAAGGTGACCGAGTAAGTGGTCTCATAACCCAGCAGCTGGTGTGTGAAGGTGGACTGTGAGTAAGTGGTCTCATAACTCAGCAGCTGTGGTGAAGGTGGACTGTGAGTAAGTGGTCTCATAACTCAGCAGCTGGTGTGGGGTGAAGGTGGACTGTGAGTAAGTGGTCTCATAACTCAGCAGCTGGTGTGTGAGGGTGGACTGTGAGTAAGTGGTCTCATAACTCAGCAGGCTGGTGTGTGAGGGTGGACTGTGAGCTGGTGTGAGGGTGACTGTGGTCTCATAACTCAGCAGCTGGTGTGAGGCGTGGACTGTGAGTAAGTGGTCTCACAACTCAGCAGCTGGTGTGTGAGGGTGGACTGTGAGTAAGTGGTCTCATAACTCAGCAGCTGGTGTGTGGACCAGGAGTGAGGCTGGTGTGAGGTGGACTGTGAGTAAGTGGTCTCATAACTCAGCAGCTGGTGTGTGAGGCGGGACTGTGAGTAAGCTCCAGCAGCTGGTGTGTGAGGGTGGACTGTGAGTAAGTGGTCTCAGTGGTCTCTACAACTCAGCAGCTGGTGTGTGAAGGTGGACTGTGAGTAAGTGGTCTCTACAACTCAGCAGCAGTGGTGTGCCCAGCAACTCAGCAGCTGGTGTGGTGAGGTGGACTGTGAGTAAGTGGTCTCATGAACTCAAAGCAGCTGGTGTGTGAGGATGGATCACCAGAGTAAGTGGTCTCAAGCAGCTGGTGTGTGAGGGTGACTGTGAGTAAGTGGTCTCACAACTCAGCAGCTGGTGTGAGGTGGACTGTGAGCAAGTGGTCCACAACTCAGCAGCTGGTGTGTGAAGGTGGACTGTGAGTAAGTGGTCTCAACTCAGCAGCTGGTGTGAGGGTGAACTGTGAGTAAGTGGTCTCACAACTGCAGCAGCTGGCTGGTGTGAGGTGGACTGTGAGTAAGTGGTAGCAGCTGGTGTGTGGTGGACTGTGAGTAATACAACTCAGCAGCTGGTGTGTGGAGGGTGAACTGTGAGTAAGTGGTCCCATAACTCAGCAGCTGGTGGTGAAGGTGGACTGTGAGTAAGTGGTCTCTAACTCAGCAGCTGGGTGTGAGGTGTGGGACTGTGAGTAAGTGGCCCCAGATAACACTTATCAAACACAATGGGTCATCTGAACATTAGCCCCAAAGCTCATTTCACCTCAAGATTAATCTCACCTCTAATGGTAGCTAATCCAAACCAAACCAAGCCAAACCAAACCAAACCAAACCAAACCAAACCAAACCAAAACCAAACCAAACCAAACCAAATCAACCAAACCAAACCCAACCCAACCTAACCTAACTCCAACCCAACCCAATCCAAACCAAACCTAACCCAACCCAACCTAAAAACCAAAACCAAACCAACCAAAACCAAACCTAACCTAATCTCCATCTCATCTAATTCCATCCCAACTCTAATCCTTCCATCCTAACCTAACCTAACCTAACCCAACCTAACCAAAAGCATTACTGAGAAACACAACCAGTTTTTATGACACATATTCACGGGTTACTCCAAACTGGTCCCAAGTTATAATAAAGCTTAGATAACCTGAAGATAATCTCCCCAGCTTATTCCATCTGATGATTTAACACCCTAATGCTATACCTGGGGGACCTAGGGTAAGGTAGGGTAGGGTAGGGTAGGGTAGGGTAGGGTAGGGTAGGGTAGGGTAAGGTAGGGTAGGGTAGGGTAGGGTAGCTTGATCAACCATTATTGAATGGACGGACAGACAGACAGAGACAGATGGGCAGACAAAGAAAGACAGAGGGACAGACAAAGAGACAGACAGAGACAGACGCAACATTCACACTTCCCAAGCTCACCTATGCCTCCCCCACCTGGTCTTCCTCCCTAAATGCCACACAACGTAAACACCTAGAAAAAGTGCAAAAGAGGAGCGTGTATTGCTTTCCTTCCTACTCCATACATCGGCGAAGCGTCAAACACACTGACCCTTTCTTTATTCTCACTGACCATCACCACGACCATCTCAAATTTGGTAAGAAGCTTTACACCACCCCGACACCGGTTCTCATTTACCACCTGAGATCCCTAGCTCGAGAATTGCTGTTCGACACACAACCGCATCCAGCAGCCTTATACGAGCACGAACTGATCAAGTTATAAGAACAGCCCAGTCCTCATTGTAAAAAATTTACTAATAATCTCAGGACAAACCAGTGTATTCCATCACTCCCAGCAAAATACCGCCTTACACTGCCTATGTTGAAAAATGCCCTGTAGTTTGAGCTTTTCCCCATCTAGTTATTATATGTCTTATTTGTGTCACTTATGTTACTTGTATATTATTTGTAATTCGAAACCCATTCCCCAAATATGTAACTGTATATTTTCAGCCTTCTGGCTGCCAAGCTCTTTCAATAAACCGTTAATTATTATTATTATTATTATTATTATTATTAAATCACGATCACTCATAATGAGATTCAGGCGAGCTAATACCGGTAAGACGCGAGAATGAAAGACAATCATGAGAAAACTGAAAAAAATTAGAAAATTAAAACAAAAAAAGAGACAAAAACATAAAAAAACGAAAAATATGAGAAAAAACAATAAAAAATAAAAAACGAATTACTAAGAATCAAGAAAAATATATAAAAAATAAGAAGGATTACACAAAAGGATTTTAGATGAACCGCCAGAAAATCCCGGCCAATCAGAGGGAATTACATAACAACCCCGAGTATTAGGATGATTACTGAAAATCCCAGGTAACAGGGGATTAATGAGGAGTATTGACAGATATGACTCTTGAGGAGATTTAACGAATATTAATGACGATTTAAAGAAGGATTAACGCGAATTATTGATAATATTTCAAGGATTAACGATTATAATTGATAATCACAATGGGATTAACGCAATTTACCAGTATATATAATGAGTTAGTTAACGAAAAGAATGGATTTTTAAATGACTTGTTGAAGGGATTAACGATAATTTTTCCCATGATTTATGTGTATTATCGAATATTGATATAATTAGTGAAGGGATTAATAATAATTCCTGATACGTTTGAGGATTAGTTAAAATTATCATAGATTCGGAAGAGATTTAACGAGGATTACTGATAATTACTGAAAGGATTAAGAAGAATTACAGATATATATTTCGTGAAGGGATTATCTAGAAATAAATTAAATCCTCACTGTATTATCATGTATCATCAGCTGGTTAAAGTCAACGAGACATCTTCAGCTGGTTATTGCCTACCAGGTATCCCCAGCTGGCTCTATACTATGAGTTCTCAGCTGGCTACAGTCAACCAGCTGTCTTCAAGAATAAAATACAATTTACTTACTCGCCAAAACAATATTCTGTACAATATAATGAAACAAGTGAGAATTAAGTACCTCTGATTATTTCACCTGATAATTAAATGCCTTATCGCTTACCTAACCTAACCTAACCTAACCTAACCTAACCTAACCTAACCTAACCAAACCAAAACAAACTCACCTGAATAAAACCAATCATTAACTAAGCAATATTTACAGGTGCTTCAGACAAGAACACAACGGGAGAAGTTTCCAGATGAACACACGACACCAGGAAATACAACTTAGGGGTGTAATATCAGGAGAGAGAGAGAGAGAGAGAGAGAGAGAGAGAGAGAGAGTCATAACAGGTAAGCAGCCACCTCCCATGAGACATATTAAAAGTTATAAAGTGGAGGTAATTAAACCCTAAGATGCTGGAATAATATTAACATGAGACTCCCAAACGTATCATTTATGTTGCCCAGTGAACTTTACGATAACGTGAGATGAGGTGATTGTTATCTTGAGAGGCCATGTATGTTATCCCATGATGGTTTCAAGAAAGTTTACAGTACATGATAACTTAAGATGACATATGGGGAAGTATACATAACTTAGGACACCATAAGGATGTATACATGTTATCTTGACACTATAAGTAGATATACAATACATGTTATCTCAAGATGGCGGAGGAATGTATACATGTTATCTCAAGATGGCGGAGGAATGTATACATGTTATCTCAAGATGGCGGAGGAATGTATACATGTTATCTCAAGATGGCGGAGGAATGTATACATGTTATCTCAAGATGGCGGAGGAATGTATACATGTTATCTCAAGATGGCGGAGGAATGTATACATGTTATCTCAAGATGGCGGAGGAATGTATACATGTTATCTCAAGACACCTAAGGATGTAAACATGTAATCTTACGTCATTAACAAAAGTTATATGTTATCATCAAACAAATAACTGAAAGCCTGCCTGTTATCCTGGCTACAAACTGTGGATAGGGGCGTGGGGTGTAGGGGGGGTGTGTGGAGGTGTAGGGGTGTGGGAGGTGGGGGTGTGGGAGGGTGTAGGGGGTGTGAGGTGTAGGGGGGTGTGAGGGTGGGGTGTGTGGAGGGTGTAGGGGTGTGTGAGGGGTGTAGGGGGGGTAAGGTCAGGTGTCGGGTGGGGCGTGAGGGGTGTAGGGGGTGTGGAGGGGTGGGGTGGGTGTGAGGGGTGGTGGGGTGTGTGAGGGTGTAGGGGAGGTGGAGGGGGTGCAGGTGGAGGGGCTGTGTGGGGGTGGAGGCCATGGGAGGAGGGGCTGCGTGGGGTGAGGGGCTGTGGGAGGTGGAGGTGTGAGGCGTGTGGGGACTTACCATGATGATGACCTGGGCGTGATGGCGGTGAGCGACGAAGAGGGCGTGGTAGGAGAGCTTGGTGAGGGCAGCAAACACCGCCAGCGTCCCCAGGTTCCTGTAAGACACACGGCAATGTCTAGTTAGTTGCTATTAACGCCTCCTGTACACACACACACATACTCAGACACATACGCACATATAAATATACATACATACATACACAAAGCTTAAAATAAACAGTATGGTGGCAATTTTAAACCCTGCAGTGACCCGTAAACAACACCACTATAATGACACACTATAACAACACACTATAACACTATAATGACACCACCATCCAGTTCAGTTCCTTCCCTCAGATCTACCTGGCTGTGTCATCTATTAATTAACTCACTATTTTTCCTACTACAGGTAACCACTAAAGATACTAATTAATATGCAGTAAAAATAATATTCGATTTATTACTTTTTTTTATTATTTCTCTCAGTTATAATGAGAAGCCTTATCACACATTTATTACTAATTCTGACTATTACTGGATGGTAAAAAAAAATAGTAAAATTCTACCACTCATAATTTTATTTTTTGGGGGTATTTTGTCTAATGAACCTTTTAGTGTTTCATGCAAATGTGGCGGCTTTTACAGAGTTAATTGTCTTTACACACATCCAATAAACATTTTTTTGTAATAGTGTTTATGGATTCGATGCAAAGAGATTTTTTTTTCAATGACAATATTTATGATTTTATTTCGTTTTCTTTAGTATTTTTTTAAGGTCATACTTAGTTATTTATCGTTTTTCTTTTTTTCTCTCAGGTTACATTTTCATATTTTTTTTCTTTTGATATTCTTCGTTTTTTGGGTCGTTACCATTAGGTGAGAAATGGTTATAATGACCGACCTGGATTTTTAGAATGGCTCGGGGGGTAATTATGATAATGACAGTAGTAATTATGATAAATGCCACACACACACACACACACACACACACACACACACACACACCTATCCCATCCCCCACACCCCTATACCCATCCCCCACACCTATCACAGCGTCCCTACATCCATCCCAACGTCCCTACTAATCGCCATACCCATTCCAACATCCTTACCCATCCCTACACGAATCCCAACCACACCATCTACACCCTAACCCATAACCTGTGACGAGCGGCTCTACAGCGTCTTACCTGAGGTCGGTGAAGGAGTCAACGAGGGGGATGGTGCCCATGGTCCAGTCACAACAGAGGCAGGAGGGCAGGAGGAGCAGGCCCGTGTTGACGCTCAGAAGATAGTTGTAGCTAAGTTGTCTCGTGGGGGTCGGTGCTACGCTGGCCGGGTTGTCGAACCTGTAGGGGGTGAAAACAAAGGGGGTGTGAGTAAGGGGTAGGGGGTGATTAAGGGTAGGGGTGAGTAAAGGGTATGGGGTGAGAACACAGGGGTGATAAGGGGTAGGGGTGAGTAAATGGTAGAGAACACGGGGTGAATAGAGGATAAAGGGAGAACACGATGGTAATTAAAGGGTAAGGAGTGATTTAGTAAAGATAAAAGGGTGATTAAGGGGTGAGCAAAGGTTAAGGGGTGATTTATGGGTTCGGTGACGGTTAGTGGGTGAATTAAAAGGATGAGTAAAGAGTAATGGGTGACTTAAGGGGATGAATTAAGGGCAAGGGGTGATTTAGGGGGATGAATAAAGGACAAGGGGTAACTTAGGGGTGAATAAAGGGCAAGGGGGAGACTTAGGGGCGAATAAAGGGCAAGGGGTGACTTAGGGGTGAATAAAAAGGGCAAGGGGGGTGATTTAGGGGATGAATAAAGGGCAAGGGGTGATTTAGGGGGGATGAATAAAGGGCAAGGGGTAACTTAGGGGTGAATAAAGGGCAAGGGGGAGACTTAGGGGCGAATAAAGGGCAAGGGGTGACTTAGGGGTGAATAAAGGGTGACTTAGACGGGTCAGATAGGGTGATGGCAGTGACAAAGGTCGAGCTGAACGGGTAACTACACCGTCAGTTGTCAATAATGTTCAAAATATAATACAATAATGTGACAGGAAGTTATATACACAAGATGGCGTCACTCAGGGATACTTTAGACTAAGTTTGGTTTAATAAGATAACTTTGTTTCAGTATGGTTCGCTCAACGTGATTCAAGTTAAGTTAGATGAGGTCACATTAGGTATGAATTAGTTAAGTTAGGTGAGAATGGCCAGTTAAGGGGTTAGGTTAGGTTGTAAATTTTCAGTTAAAAGATCAAGTTAAGTTCGGTATGCGTGACCAGTTAATGAGTTAGCTTAGTTAAATTGAGTGTGAGTAGCCAGGTAAGAGGTTCGTCACAATGACTACCCACCTGGTGAAGACAGGTAGCTGGGCCCCCATCACGTGGACTCTGGCCAACATGAGGCCCAGCGTTGTGGCGACCAGCACGAAGACTCGAGGGGCCATGTCTGCCAGCCAGGGGGGCACTGACCCCTTCCCGGAGACCACCCCCTCCCCAAACTGAATCAGCTCCCATCCTCGCACCTGTAGGGAGAAGAGGAGTACTTTTGACACCTGTGACCTGTGACCTTGTAGTAACACCTTTAACTAGCTTAATTGAACTTAAACTTATAACTTATAACACTAGGAATCGCTTCTCTTGTATACATAGAGTAATTTAGAGTAACAGAGATGTATTACGCAATATATTACACTTTGACTATGGTAATTATTGGATATATGAAGATGATCACCTGAAGATTCATCCCACAGATCATTTCACCTGAATATTAATCACCTTAACGCTACCTGGGGGAATTAAGTTATGATAGATTAGGTTTAGGATAGGATACGTTAGGTTCAATTAGGTTCAGTTAAAATAGGTTAGGTTCGCATTAAGTTACGTTAGGTTAGGGTAGGTTAAGGTAGGTTAGGTTAGGTTAACATTAAGATAGTTAATCTCCAGGCGTAATAAGCTTAGGAAAGTGAATCTTCAGGTGCACAATTAACACATAACTTACAAAAAACATCAAAACATCTCAATCACTCACAAACGTTCCCTAAAATTATAAATTTTTTTTTTTACCCTTCCTGAATAAACATTGCCCTGAGGTTATAATCACGTAATACACAGTAATTATGTTAAAAGTCTCCCCAGTAAATATGACGGCGTGTAGGAAGTTAATCCGTCATAACAAGACCTTGGAAAGAGGTGACCAGTTCCTTAACAAAGTGAGGTTAAATAGCTGGTGAATTAAAATAGTACAATATACGCCTAATATACCTGTGTTATTTTATATACGCATAATATTATACCTGTGTTATCTTATATACGCATAATATTATACCTGTGTTATTTTATATACGCATAATATACCTGTGTTATTTTATATACGCATAATATTATACCTGTGTTATCTTACTACCAGGTAACTCACTGTTTTACTGCCACACTGTCAGATAAAAGGCAAACAATTACAGATAATTATCCCGAGAAAAAACAACAACTTTATAAATAAAAAACATTACGGGATAAAAGTTAAGAGTTTTTCACCCATTACCCAATACAGGTGAGACAGGTAACACCCTAATGAGTGTTTAAGATCAAAAAGTTAATATATATAGATAAGCTATTCGAAAAAAAAAGATTATAATATTAACCCGTTTAAATTATTTCTTCATGCATGGAGTCGTGTCTTGTTTTACCCATCAATTCCGAACAACTTAAATAAAAGAATAGGTACAAAAATAATAACATGATTACCTACACTAATACAAAGGAAAATAAATAAATGACAAACAAATAAAAATACAAAATAAATAAAATAAATAAATAAATAAATAAATTAATTAATTAATTATAATAATAATAATAATAATAATAATAATAATAATAATAATAATAATAATAATAATAATAACCTTGAAATTATTGATATTGAAACAGTTTATTTAGCCAGAAAAATACAGAGACGATAATAATAACAATATTGACATGGCTGAACTAGTTGAGAGCCCCCCCCCCCCCCCGCACCACCCGGTAAAATATATAAATTATTTAAAACTACATACAGTAAATATGACCATGAAAGTGTAAAATATTTTCATGGTTCCATCTTGATTAAAAATAATAAGTGTCCCTCCCGCGAGCGTCAACATACAGCCTCCCAAGGACCCATTCTCTTTAATCCTGCAGCCGTGGCCAGTTAGACCCCAGGGATGCCCAGAGCTACCACCACTACTACCACTACACGTCGTCGCAAGAAAGAGAACCTCCTCCCATCTTTCGCCCCCATGTATCCTTTTGTGTGTGTGTGTGTGTGTGTGTGTGTGTGTGTGTGTGTGTGTGCGTGCGTGTGTGTGTGTGTGTGTGTGTGTGTGTCTCCCCAGTGGGTGCTGTTGGGTGCTCAAGGCAGGAGGAGGGGAAAGGAGGGAGGGGAAAGAGGAGGAGGAGGAGAAGCAGGGGAAAGGGTGGGGGTGTAGGAAGGGGAGGAGGAGGAGAAGAAAGAGGATGGATGAGGGAGGTGATGGATGAGGTGGAGGAAGTGAAGAAGGAAGAGGAGGAAGTGAAGAAGAAGGTGGAAGGAGTGAAGAAGAAGAAGGGAGTGGTGTAGGAGGAGGAGGGAGGGAGGGGGTAGAGAACGGTAGGTGAGGCAGGAGAAGGAAGACACAATGGCTGCCGGGACACGACCAGGAAGGGGGAGAAAACTTTGGCGCCGCCGTGGAGAACTATTGCCTCTGGCCCTCCGCTGACACGTACACAAAGCGCCAGAGAAATATACCACTTACAAAGACACCGCCTCGCCACTGTTTGCCTCGCCAGTGTTTGCCTCGCCAGTGTTCGCCTCGCCAGTGTTCGCCTCGCCAGTGTTTGCCTCGCCAGTGTTCGCCTCGCCAGTGTTCGCCTCGCCACTGTTTGCCTCGCCAATGTTCGCCTCGCCAGTGTTTGCCTCGCCTGTATTCGCCTCACTAGTATTTGTCCCACTAGTGTTTGTCTCTTCAGTATTTGCCTCGCCAGTGTTCACCTCGCCAATATTCGCTCGCCAGTGTTCGCCCCTAATAACTACAACAAAGTTATCACAGTAAATGGTGTCCCGTCCAAAGTGTGTACAATGAGAACCATTAAGATGGGGTATTATCTCGCGGTAAATTTATTGTTTGTGTCGAAAAACGAGAATTGGAGAAGAGCGATAAAAACCTGAGCTTCAAAAATGGTAAGTAACTTGGATAACATTGAGATCTGGTAATCCAGCTAAATTCACCTAATGATTAAACGCTCTACCTGGAGGTGTTAGGTTAGCGTTCACGTGATCCAAACGTATTGTGAAAACTTATCTTGAAAACAACTTCAGACGAAACAAACTATTCAATTCGTGGAAAAATATACGAAAAAAAAATTAAAAATAAATCTGGGAGAGTAACTAGACCGGATTAACAAACGAGTCTCAAAATCTGATACAAATCGGTGGAAATGTTGTCAAATCGGTTCTACTTTCCGAATAACATGACTTTATCGGTAAAATATCAGACAAAATCAGTTCCCAGTCACAACAATAGGGTACACCGCATTAAGGAATTACTACATACGTGTTCCATGGTTGGTTCTGAATCTGTTGGGCCGTTCTTGAGATAACATGCGGACACGAAGATTGGAAACAGAAATAGATTATCTTGGAAACAGTAAATGAAACAAATAAGTGACCTGAACTGTGAGCTGCCAAACGGACGATCATTACCTAACCGACTCTAACATAATATTAACCGGACTTAACGATAACCTAATCTAGCCTAACCTAATCCAACACTAACCTAACCTAATTTAACGTTAACTAATCTAAAGCTTACCTAATTTAACGCTAACCTAACCTAACAACCTAACCTAACCTAACCTAACGTAACCTAACCTTATGCCAACCCAACCTAACCTAACCTAACCTAACCTAACCTAACCTAACCTAACCTAACCTAACCAAACCCCCTGTTAGCGTGAGGGTTTTTAATCACCAGGTATTATAAGCTGGAAGAGCGAGGGATCAGTCTTGAGGTGATACAATATTTCACATTAATATATAACGCGACCATCACCATAATACGTGTGATACAGTCCATATGATAATAAATTAATTAAATAAACTATGATATTAACGACAAACAGGTTGACGCATATTGGTGTTTGTGTACGATCCTGTCCTTGTTGACTTGTTGATTGTCTGTATGTTTTCTGTCTCTGTCTGTGTGTGTGTGTGTGTGTGTGTGTGTGTGTGTAATAATTAACGGTCTCTCTCTCTCTCTCTCTCTCTCTCTCTCTCTCTCTCTCACAGGGGGTACAGTAAGCGTTGTTTATATCTAACATCACTTTTAATTACATTTAATTCGCTCATGAAAATGCCAGCGAAGATTTAATGCCGTCATCCTTTACCCGAAAGTGAGTGTGTGTGTGTGTGTGTGTGTGTGTGAGTGTGTGTGTGAGTGTGTGTGTGTGTGCGTGTGTGTGTGTGTGTGTGTGTGTGTGTGTGTGTGTGTGGTGTGTGTGTGAGTGTGTGTGTGTGCGTGTGTGTGTGTGTGAGAGAGAGTCACATGAAATATTACAGCATTACGTAATACAACTGAGCATTCTTAAAGTGAGACCTAAAAATTACAGCGTGTTACGACAACATTACAGCACATCAAAGGCAGACTCAAACGGTATATCCAAGATACATCAGAATAATACAGTCTTAGATACAGGTACAGCAACTAGTAGTACTGTAATTCTCAAGACTGATAAGAGTCATAAAAAAACAGGTTCATGTATATTGTAAAAGCTCAAAAGAGAAGATCAGATATGCCTGTGGGCTCGTTAGGGCAGTGCGGACACAGCATAAAGTAGACGAGGCATTTAGTAGGTATTGTGATCGGCACTGCACTCGATCGCCTTATCGTCCCCAATTGTTAAGCTAGGTACCCATTCACAGTAGGGTGGACCGCGGGTGCCCGGACGTGAACCAAGGACCCTTAGGATAAGAGGTAAAAGCTGTTGCATCCTTAAATAATATAAAGTACAGGTATGTTATCATTAGCACATATACAGGTATAAAGTAAAGGTATAGATCTACACATACAGTACGATTAGGTTCGGTTAAGTTACGTTAGGTTTGGTTTGGTTAAATTTGCCTCTCACACACACACACACACATACACACACACACAGTAATGGTTAGATTAAGTTAAGTTAAATTCATACCCACACAGTAGAGAAGTCACCAAGGATCCACATTTTCAGATTATTTCGTTTAACTTCATTCCCATCTTAGCAGCGTCCCTAAGAGCGCCAATTAGAAGGGTCGGCACACCATCAACAAGAGTGAAACTTAAATGAACGAACCTTTACGAATCTGAGCGTCACCTCAAAACCGTCTTAAACAGAAGGTATAATTAAAAGATGAGGAAAAACACAGGTGAAGCAGAATAATTAATCTCACAGGTAAGACTTTGAATAAAATTGTGTTCAAGTGAACTTTTGGGGAATGGGTCGTTTAATATTATGTTCAGTGACTTTGGAAGGA